ACAAGAATTAGAAAATATAAAAATTGAAAACACATTTGATATGTTTATCTAAAAATAATATTTAAAAATATGAAAAATAAAAAAACATTTGACATGTTTGCTTGAAAATAGTATTCATAATAAATATGTATTTGTTTTATTTTCTTAAAAACAAGTATTTGAGCACTCAAAATATAGTAAAAGTGAAGCTTAAATTGATCGTATAACTAACAGAAATAAGAAATAATATAAATCGGACTTGCAAATTTAATGTGAAAAAATATTCTAATGTTTTTAACATATAGGAAAAAAAAGATGAAAATTAAACATTTAGGAAAGTTCAGGGTCCGTTTGTTTTGTTATTCCTATCCATATTCCTAATCCTATTCCCAATATATTTGTTTGTTTTATTATTTGAGAAATACTATTCAGGGTCAGTGGTTGCTGGAATCTGTCACAACGGTATAGAAATGACCGGAAATGGCCGGTAATTCGTCGATCTGGCCTTTTTCGGTCAGATCCACAGTGGATCTGGCCGTCGTTGACGATCAACAGCAGCCAAATCTTGGCTGTCGCTGACGGCCAAATCTGACCTTTTGCAGCAATCGACGACCAGATCTGGCCGTAACTGGCATTTTTCGACCAAATCCATGATATTGGTCGAAAATGTCATATCGACTTACGACCGGCCAAAACCAACCATTCTGCGCTCTAACGCCATTTTCGCGGCCATATTCCACGATGGTGGCTGGAATTGGCACTGTGGGTGGGTGTGAGTGTTTTTGTCATTTTACAAAATTTTTATATATTGGGTGTTTAGTTAAATTAGCAAACCTAGGGGATTTTTTTGGTTGATTTTTAAATTTTCCTCGTAATACTCACCTTATTCATACCCATATTATTCTCAAAATCTTATCCAAATAAAAAACTAACGAACCCTCAAAAGTTTGTCTTATATGAGTGCTGTTTGTCTTTTCTTGAACTCCCTTTGTCCTCTTCTCACTTTTTCTTCAGTTTTTTCTCCATTTTATAAAATTTTTAAAAAACAGTTCTATTCGAACAAGCCCTTTATTTCTTTGTTTTTTGTTATAGAGTGAGGTCTTAAAACTAAAGCGTAAAGAGACTTGCAACTTATATGTGCAGAGACAATGGTTGTGCTGTTGTCAAGATAAATTGAATTTGGTTGGGATAAGTGACTTATATACTTATACAAGATAAATCTCTAAGACGAATTTGACTTGAGATTGGATAAAATTTATATACTTGACTATTGTTAGGAGTGTATATATGTAACAGTTATTCTTCTTCACATAGTGAAATTGTCATCATCACCTCTGGAGTGTGATTCTGTGTGTTTGTTGCGTTTATTGTCATTATTGTAATCTAAGGTAGGATAAATTTTTTCAAGTTTGGAGTCTTTGGTTAATTTCTGTACACCTAAGTGTAAGTAATTGCAACACTTGGATTATTTTGCAACAAAACTTGTCTCATTCAAACTAGTGATTTAAATTTGGATTGATACCAAAAGTTAAATCTGCTCAGCATTTCTCAGAATTCTTTCAATTTATAAGCTCACATTCACTTGTACAAGTATATCTTTTCTTTTTGGTGGCAATGCTAACAGTAAGAGCATTGAACTCAATATTTCAACAATGGGATACACAAGCAGTGGAAGGATTGTGGAACTTAACCGGAGATCCTTGTACTGGAAGTGCTGTAAATGGGACTGACTTTGAGGACCCAGATAATAATCCTGCTATCAGATGTGATTGCTCCTATGACAGTAATTCAACTTGCCATATCCTCAATTGTACGTATTCATCCCCCTTAAATTACGTTAAATTTATTGCATTAATTCTGAATTGTACTATAAAACAAAAAATGAGTCACCCTATAACTGTGTTTTGAATAACAAAAAATGGAGCGCGCTCTCTCTCTCGTATATATATATCCCGTAACACACTAAGGCTAATATTTTTTTTTTCCCAGGAGAGTGTATGCACTGAACAAACGGGGTGATCCCAGAAGAGCTAGTGACTTTGCGATACTTGACATTTTTGTATGATTTCCACTTATTTCCAGCCTTTGATTTGTTTAAACTTTAATCTTTATGGATGTCAAATCAACAAACATTGATTATTTTGCAGGAAACTTGATCAAAATTACTTCATGGTACATTGCCTGCTTTCATTGGAAACTTATCTCGCTTGCAGACATTGTAGTACTATATTGTACTCACCACAATTCATATTTTGTTCTTGCACATGTATGTACATAGATTATATTTCTTTGGTTAAATGGCTTTGGATTATTTTGCTAATTCTTGTTTTCATTGTGTTCAATTATGTTTGATCAGTTGGCATCAACGCGTTTTACGTTCCATCCCCAAGGACTTGGAAATCTTAAGGAGTTAACTTTGCTGTAAGATTTATGAACTCTCTGCTCTATCTTCAGTTTTTGAAAAAAATCATCTAACGAAATGTACGTCATGCGCTATTGGTTCCTAATTTCAACGGAACACTGCCTCCAGAACTTGGAACTTAGTCAAACTTGAGCAAATGTAGGTTCTAACATTCTGATTTGTTGATCACTTAAAACTGTTTTTTTTTATAGCTATAATTTCACATCTGAGATTCATTTCTAATGAAATTTAGAAATTTTGTGTTTGATGAACCCACAGTTACATGGATAGTGGCGTGGGGTGGTGAAATTCCCTTGTCTTTTGCTAGTCTGCAAAATTTCACACAATGTAAGGGGAATCGTCTCTACATACTATATCTTTATGGATTTTCTAAGCTAGAAAAACTACTGTTAAATTTCAGGTGGGCATCGTATATCCTTTTACGGACATACCCGACTTCTCGGAAACTGGACCAAGCTTACATCATTGTAAGCCATGAAAAACTCCTGTTACTAATCTTAAAGTTTCTGAATGTTTTGTTATAAATTCTGTCAAACGTTTGTGCAGGAGATTTCAAGGGACCTCTTTTGAAGTCCTATACCATCCAGTTTTGCTAACTTGACCTTATTATCCTTGTGAGTACATTTTCTGTTCAATGCTTCCATCTTACTTTCTCCCTCGATTTTTGGAAAAAGACTGATATCAGTGATGTAATTGATTTGTAGAGAATCAGTGACATATACAATGTCAGCTCTTCTCTTGATTTCATCAGAAGTATGAAAAAATTAACCGACTGTAAGTTTACACATATACTCCTTCCGATTTCTTTTTCAAGCTATTCATATGACAATGATCAGACTTTTATTAACTCTTCAGATCCCTGAGAAATGCTTTAATCAATGGTCTTATTCCATCTGACGTTGGAGAATACCAGAGCTTACAGACTCTGTAAGTTAATTAATACTAACAATTATCCTCTTAGCCACTACTATATATCTTCTTCAGAAAAAGTTCATCTTTTTTTTTCTTTTCCTGCAGGGATTTATTTTAACAACTTATCTGGTGAAATCCCAAGTGCTTTATTCAATATCAGTTCTCTACTTACTTGTAAATTCCTTGAAACTTCTCTTCATCATTCAAGAACTTGAGTACTTTAAGTTTGATTGTTATTTAAATTTGGTCTAAGCCTGTGCCTTTCATTTCATATATGTACTTCATATAGCTTACTTCTCTTCCACACATTTTCAATTCAGGTTTCTTGGAAACAATGTCTCTCAGGATCCCTCCCCAACCAAAAAAGTGAAAATCTTCTAAATATGTAAGCCTTGTTCCAAAATACTTTGTTGCTGCACAAATATGTTGGCTATTGTCATTCGGTTCTGCTGTCACATAAGCCCATGTCAACAAAATGAATTTAATTCTTTCTTGCGAGAGTTATCATACAATTATCTATCCGGAACTTTTCCCTCGTGGGTGACTTCAGTTTTGCAGTTGTATGTCCCTTAAACTATGTATTTTGATTTCTTTGTTCTTTTTCATTTCTCGATTTCACACTTTACCTTTGAGCTTTGGCGTTGTGACTATACAACTTTTCCCTTGTTTCTTAATTTATCACCTGAATGGTTATATGAAGAATCAATGCAAGAGAGAGTAGTATGAGAACCTACTGAACCTATTCTTACGGCCACCTTACGGCTGTCTGAGGCCTAGTTAGTTCTTTTCTTCTGCTCAAAGAACTATGTAAATCTATTGCTGATCACTTGGAAACTATTTGATACCTTAAAAGCACTGTCATTCTATGTCTTTGTAACTTGTTGACACTCTACTGACAGATCTGCTTCAAACTTTGAAATATAATTTGATCATTCATTGAATTGTGTAGGAATCTAGTGGCCAACAACTTCACATTTGACAGCTCAAACACCAGGTTAGCTATAGATCTTTTTAAGATATATAGAATATCAGAATTGTATTTTGTTAAAAGGGTGCTTGTCTAAGCAAAAATGTCCTCTGTGTTGCTAGTATTTTCCTGGATTGACTGTCTTCAGAGGAACTTCCTGTGCAATCGGAATCCGCCTCTCTGTAAGCTGCTTTATTTCTGATGCTCAAATCAATTTGTAATGTATTGTGCTGGCTTGTTAAATTAGAAAAGAGTTGTTTATTGTACTATAATGCAGAGGATTCAGAAAGAGTGAGGTGAGGCTAGCTTATGTTTGTCGACAGAGAAACAAAATGAGTTTAAGTTGGTTGCTTTTACTGGTCTAGACAATTTCCATTGCCACTTCTGCCATTAACCAATTGATTATATGGAATTGATAAAAAAGATGGTAATTAACCAATTGGAACAAGAATCAAATTATACCGGTAGCCTTTTCGAGCCATCTTGGCTATGAAAAAGCTTTAACAAAGCTCTTGTTCATGTGATAGAATGAGTGTGAAGTTGATAGCACCTTTACAATCTCTATGTGTTTCATAAATGTTCTGTGAGCTGTATCAGCTTGTGCTGGAGAATATTTCATCGTTAAAATTATTTGATGTGTTGTTGAACTAAAACTCCATATCTTAGTTGAAAGATTGTGATTTGTTCTTTTTATCTTTGCATTTGCAGATGCAAATTTTGCAATCAAGTGTGGAGGTGCAGAGATGACAGCGGAAAATGTAGTCTATGAGACTGAAAACTCATCCCTCGGTGTAGCTTCATTTAATGTTGCCAGTACAGAAAAATGGGCAGTTAGTAATGTAGGTTTGTTTAGCGAGAACGAAAATCCAACCTATGTGGGAACTACTCAAGCACAAGTGATTGGCACCCGAGCTCCAGAGCTTTATCAGACTTCAAGGCTATCCCCTGGATCACTTAGATACTATGGCCTTGGTCTTCAGAATGGACTCTATAATGTAAGCCTGTTATTTGCAGAAACAGCTATTGAGGATCCAAGCACACAAAGGTGGCAAAGTCTTGGAAGGCGTGTTTTTGATATCTATATCCAGGTAAACCTGTACTCGAAAATTTGAATTTGGAGATCATGTGATTCATACCCTAATTATACACAGATTCTATTTTTGATTAAGATATATGAATTCTATCTCCTGTCATGGATCCACCAGGGAACTCTCCAACGGAAGGATTTTGACATATCAAAGGAGGCAAATGGTGTTAACATAGCAGTTACAAGGGATTTCAATGCTAATGTGACTGAGAACCATCTTGAAATTCACCTATTTTGGGCTGGTAAAGGTACCTGCTGCATACCTGAACAAGGTGATTTTGGACCATCAATTTCTGCTCTTAGAGTTGTTCCAGGTAGAACTTGCAATTCCTTTTAATCTTCATTTAAGATGATTTGTAATAAAAGTGATAATCTTTCTTTTATGATACTTTTAACTGAATTTTACTACTCAGATTTCATACCAACTGTCAGTGGTAAACCCCCCAATACTCTACAAAAGAAGAACCAGACAGGGCTGATCGTTGGTATTGCAGTCCCTCTTGGAATTGTGAGCTTGATACTGATATTTATAGCATTTTACATGAGAAGGAAAAAAGATGATGATGATGAGGATGGTAAGAGCACCATAGAGGATGTAAAAATAAATAGCATTGCTACATAGTTCACTTGTGCCCATTGTAAGGTTGTCTTGGCACTTAAAAAAAGTACTGTGATTTTTGTTCTATCATATGTATAGTAACTTTTTTTTTCGAATGTGCAGTGCTACAAGCAGTAGGTCCTAAAGGAAACACGTTCAGTTATGCTGAGTTGAGATCTGCAACAAAAGACTTCGATGCTTCACATAAGCTAGGAGAGGGAGGATTTGGACCTGTTTACAAGGTAACAAGTTAACAAGGGGATCTTAGCTATTGGATTTCTACCAAACGAGGGGCAGTTGTTAGTCTTATGTTAATAATTGTGGTACTTTACAGGGTACACTTTCTGATGGGAGAGTAATAGCTGTGAAGCTACTTTCAGTTGGATCTCACCAAGGGAAAAATCAATTTATAAATGAGATTGCTATCATCTCTGCAGTGCAACATCGAAATCTTGTAAAATTGTATGGTTGTTGCATCGAAGGAATGAGGCGCCTACTTGTTTATGAGTATCTTGAAAACAAAAGCCTTGATCAAGTATTATTTGGTATGAGAATGACAATCAGGCAAAACCACTTAGAAGAAGCAAAATATTAATAAGCTCCAAAATTCTCCTAGGGATATATTTTACCAGAATCCTGAACTTTTTAATTCAATAGATAGTATAACTCTTTCAGGTTTCTGATTAATGAAGCTACCATTTCGGCAGGAAATAGAGAGTTGCATCTCGATTGGCCGACTCGATTTAGTGTATGCATGGGAACTGCAAGAGGACTAGCTTATCTTCATGAAGAATCAAGACCAAAGATTGTACATCGAGATGTCAAAGCAAGTAATATCTTACTTGATGCAGAACTCTGTCCCAAGATATCAGATTTCGGATTGGCAAAACTGTATGATGACAAGAAAACTCACATTAGCACTAGAGTTGCAGGCACCATGTAAGCTCCATCAACCATTTCTCAACTAACATTCTTTTTTAGTGCATTGAAAAGGAATAAATAAGCACTTGGTGTAGGCCTAATCATGTAAAATGTATATTTACTCAGCGGCTATCTGGCTCCCGAATATGCTATGCGTGGACACCTAACAGAAAAGGCTGATGTATTCAGTTTTGGTGTTGTTGCTTTGGAGATTATCAGTGGAAGAGCAAACTCTGACAATAGCTTGGATACTGGAAGGATTTATCTTCTTGAATGGGTAAAGGAAGTAGTAAACTTGAATTCTGTTTTCTGTAATTTTCTTTGCTTTCAAATATGTACTAGTTAAACAAACTCATTTGTTTATCCTTGTGAAATATCATTACAGGCATGGAATCTTCATGAAAATAACCAAAGCTTGGCGCTTGTAGATCCCACATTAACCGAGTTTAACAAAAGCGAAGCTCTTCGAATAATAGGAGTAGGTCTTTTGTGCACTCAAGCATCACCTATATTGCGGCCACCCATGTCAAGAGTTGTGGCAATGCTTATCGGAGACATAGAAGTGGGAACTGTCACTTCAAAGCCAAGTTACCTGACTGACTGGGATTTTAAGGACATAACAAGTGACTTTCTGAATAATGAAGATAATGTTGCATCTTCATCTGGAAAAAGCTCCGGCAAGCAGGAAAGTGAATCTAACAACCCAACTTTTCTTAGCCATGGAGTTGATCCATTTCATTCCCCAGTAGATGTCACTCAGTTCAGTGACAAAATTACAGATGGGAGGTGAAAAGAAGTCATAATTTATATATGTTGGCACATTTTCAGCTGCAAAGTGCAAACCACAATAAGACTTGTAATAGTTGGGAAGTTTTCAAAGCTGTATTTATATAAGTTGAAGCCTTTGAGTTAAATAATTGTACTTAACAAATGCAATTATTTCTTTCTTGCGAATATGTCCTTTACTGAAATAAATCGAATGAGAATAGAACAATTGTACTTTTTTTTTTAAAAAAAAAAAAAAACAAAAGACATTAAATTATTTCATACCATTATATGTTACAAAGATTTAGTTGAAGTTATTATTATTATTATTCAATCCGACTTTCGTTTATCAAATTTTACATTCTTCGATGTGAGAATATTTAATTAAATTTTTGTATTTTTAATGTTTAAAAATGTTAATAAACTTTCTGATACTGCATAAGATATTAAGAAAAAGTCCAAGCCTCCAAGGTTGGAATTTATACATTCAAAGGGAAAGAGAGTTGAATTGAACTTAATAGTTTCTAGTTGAGTTAATGATACATTACTTTATAATAAAATATCATATAATCCTATTACAAAGTTAAATACAGTCGCAATTGTCACAAAGTATCATATATCAGGTTGTTAGCGTATTGACAAAAAAAAAATTTCAGTAAGCTTAAATATGTTTTCAATGAGAGTTAATGACTTTTTCCGTCAAAATAATGGTTTAATGACGCTTTCTTGCCCATCGACGTTTAAAATACCACTTTATTATCTAATTTTATGTTTCGTTTATGATTCTAACATTGTTACAACCCCACACCACCACCATTTTCTTATTCGATATTCACTCACAAAAACCCTTCAAACTTTATTCATGCCGACCCCGCCAATCACCAGTAATTGAGCGATTAGGATTTATATAACCATCACTCCCAAGTCAAATTCCAATTAATCTCAACCACTAAAATCCAGTCTTCCATTACCAAAAGACTCATTGATCTCCTTTTTTCAAAAGTCTCAATAGTTTAGATCAAGTTTATTCTCTGTTCGTTATCAGAATATAAATTTGGATAGTAAAATGGTATTTTAAAAGTCTGCGAGTGAAAAAGTGTCATTAAACCCTAATTTGGGTGGGAAAAAGTCCTTAACTCTTTCAATAATGTTAAAGATATATAATATTTTGAAAAAGTATTAATACTTTTGTGTTAAATATTAATCGATTTTACGCTCGTTTAAAATAAAAACACATTTTAATTAAAAGTCCTAATCAAAGTTTTGAGTCGCATCAAATTAAGGTCCCACATCAACAGCCCAAAGATCTTTATTTGGCTGCTGTGCAAAGTTTTTCCAAAAACTCCTAAACAACACCGTTGACAAATGTTAATTCTTTGACTTGCTAAGTATTTATCGACAATAGTAAACAGCATATAAAATTTAATATAAACATCCACATTGGAAATTTTGCTTTAAAAAAATGCATATATAATTATATTTATTGTGATTGGCCATCCACTGCCTTAACTTTGAGGCAGTGAATGGGGGGAGGGGTCGTTGGCTATAAAGGCCCCCTCCCCTTCATTTTTACTACAATGAAGTGAAAAGAATAAAAGTTTTACAGCCCCTTTCGACTTTATTTTCTTAGCATTTTGTCTTCTTTAATCTATTACACTTATACCGCTAAGATTATAATACGTTATAAGTACGAAGAGCTTAACAAGTGTAATGGTGCACACCTACTGAAAGTACGTATTTTCAACCCTACAAATGTTATTTAATCATTGTTTCTGCCTTTATAGATTGATTTATTTATTATCATTAAATTTTGCATATTTTCAATCTTGCATGTGTTCTTTAATCTTTGTTTCCGCTTTTATGGTCGGATTTATTCATTATTATTAAATTCTACCTCTATGATCAGATTTATTTATTATTGTTAAATTTTGCCTCTATAATCGGATATATTTATTACTGCTAAATTCCGCCTTTATGGTAAGATCTATTTATTATTGTCAAACTTCGTCTCTATGGTCGGATCTATTTATTATTGCTAAATATATACCGCTTTCATGGCTGGATCTATTTATTATTTTTAAATATTGCCTTCATGGCTGGATCTGTTTATTATTGTTAAATATCGCCTTCATGGTTGATTATATTTATTATTGCTAAATACCGTCTTCATGGACGGATCTATTTATAATTGTCATTTTATTTATCGATTCTTTACAATTATCACATTTTATATTTCATTTGTTAGTTTTGGATGGCTGAATGCATCCCATGACATGCATCCAGAAGATGCAAAACTAATTACATTACTCTTATTAATGAATAGTTCTCAGAAATGTTGAACCTTGTGAAGCTCTAGTATGAGGCCCTGAGACTAGATGGAAAAGACTATGATGAAGGGGCCCCAGACACTACTCTCCATGTGGAATCTATGAAACTGGGTGAAGTCATTAAGGAAGGAAACATGACGTCCTTGTAGGACAAATCAAAGGCTACTATTTTCCTTTGGCATCATATCCAAGAAGGGTTACGGGCTGAGTATAAGGATATAAAAGAGCCACTCCAATTGTGGACTAATTTGAAGGAGAGATTTGAACATAACAAATCAGTAATACTCTCAATGGCTTAATATGATTGGACTCATTTACTGAAAGGATCGAAAAGATTCGAAGAAAATTTAGGTAAAATGAAAGAGAGATTCGTTGATTTGAATGCTATATTAACCACACTACTATTTCTCAGCGCACTTTACTCTTTTATATGTAAAAGAGTAAAGTGAGAGTTTACAACCTGTTTTCAATCTGCGTTTAAGCTAAAACAGTTGTAGTCAAAACTACACCGTTTCTGTACAATTTCACATAGGCCCTCACAAGTTTGACAGTTAACAAACAACACACAGTTTATACTACATTCTAACATTCCCCCTTAAACTGATCTGGAGTAATGTTCTAGGTATTCTGATCTTCAGCTCTAAGTATTCTGAACTTCAATCTTCTGCTGATTGACATTAGCTTACATTTCTCTTACTTTTCATTCTAACACTCCTCCTTAAACTGATTTGGAGTAATGACAAGCTTCTGCTAAAAAACTTGCATTTGTCGATTCATGCAGATATCATTTCAAAACAATCTTCATCAGTAACCTCATCAGTTCTGCATTCAGTAACCTCATGAATTCTTCAGCAAAACAATCTTCATTTATGCAGCAAAATACTCAGACCTCATCAATTCTTCATTCAATATTGTAGTACAACACACAGAGTCCATCAATCTTCACTCAAATAAATCCCAGAAATCCAGCTGCAAAACTTACAACATCTAGCAGAAATTCCAACTGCAACACTCATAACAGCCAGATAGAAATTCCAGACTTACAACATCCAGACAGAAATTCCAGCTGCAAAACTTACAACATCCAGACAGAAATTCCAGCTGCAATACTGATAACAGCCAGACTGAAATTCCAACTGCAAAACTCAGTCATTTCCAGATTGCATTCCCACAACAACTACACAAATATCAGCTGCAAATCACTCACAAATTCCAGCTTGCTCCAGATTGCATTCTCATGGCAAATACACATATTACAACTGCAACAGAAAATCCAGATTTCCAAAAAATCCAGATTGCTCCAGATTGTATTCCCACAGCAAAACACTTAGAACAAACAACCATCAGAACAAACAACCATCAGTATCAAATAGAACAAATAACCATTAAAACAAACAACCATCAGTATCAAACAGAACAAACAGAGCACACAACCATCAGACAAAATTTCAGCTTCTTGATTCCACTGCCTCTTGACTGATAACATTCAGTTTACTTCTTAATTCAATGAACTGAGTAACAGACAATGCTTTCGCTAGTAAGTCAGCAATCTGCAGTTTGGAGGCACATATTGGATAGTTAACTTCTTTGCAAGCACTTGCTCTCTAACATAATGAGCATCTATCTCTATATGCTTAGTTCTAGCATGAAACACTGGATTAGCTGCCAAGGCTGTAGCACTTATATTATCACACCAAATGATAGGTGTGACTAGAATGGATAATCCTAATTCTACAAACATACTTTGTAGCCATGCAATTTCTATGGCTGTTTAAGCTAGAGCTCTATATTCGGCCTCAGTTGATGAAAGAGCAACAACCTTTTGTTTTCTAGAGCTCCATTGAATTAAGTTTGGTCCCATATACACACTAAATCCACTGGTTGACCTCCTGTCTTCCATGTTACTACCCCTATCCGCATCAGCATAGCACTATATAGTTAAAGTGCTTGCTTTCTTAAATTGCAGTCCATAATTCAAGGTACCTTTAATGTATCTTAGAATTCTCTTACACGCTTACCATTGAAGATCTGTGGGAGCTTGCAAAAACTGACTTAGTTTGTTAACTGGAAAACTAATATCAGGCCGTGTAAGTGTCAAATATTGTAGGGCACCCACTATACTCCTGTACAAACTTGGATCAGCAAACAACTCACTATCAGTGGAATGTAACTTGGTTCCTACTGCCATTAGAGTTGTACAGGCATGATAATCCAACATTTTTGTCTTAGACAACAGATCAACAACATATTTCCTCTGTTTTAGGTGAATTCCAGCAGCACTTTGTAGTGCTTCGAGTCCCAAAAAATATTACAAAGATCCAAGTGTTTTAAGGGAAAACTCAGCATTTAAATCTTCCATAAGCTAAGTGATGAATGAGTTATCTGATCCTATTATAAGAATATCATCTACATACACAAGCACATAGGTGAGATGAAAATTCTGTTTAAGCACAAATAAACTGCTATCAGAAACTAAATTCTAAAACCCTTTGCTAAGAAGAGCTATTTTCAGCTTGTCAAACCATGCTCTTGAAGCTTGCTTGAGTCCATATAGAGCTTTATGCAACTTGCATACATAGGTTGACTTAATGGGATCCTCAAAACCAAAAGGTTGTTGCATGTAGACTTCTTCATTCAAGGTTCCATTTAGAAACGCATTGTTGACATCCACTTGTTGAATGTCCCACCCTTTAGTAACAACTAAGGTGAGTAATATTCTAATAGTGGAGGCTTTAACTATTGGGCTAAAGGTTTCAAAATAATCAAGCTCAGGAGTTTGTTGAAAACCCTTGGTAACAAGCCTAGCTTTGTATTTTTGTAGAGAACCATTAGAATTAAACTTGGT